CATAATCACCAGTCTAGAGATGTACTTGTTAAAATTTTGTCCCCAAATAAAAAGGAGAATTGAGGTGAACCCTGTGTCTGATGTAGGCCCTGTTTCAGTTAAGATTGAAGAGGATTCCAAAACCCCATCCAGTGTTTGCTTTCCACATATTTGGAGAGGATCTCCCAATTTGTAACCTTGATCTTCCATGCTACAGAATAAGTCAATTCCTTTTAGTTCCACTTTTAGTGGGCATGGACAGCAATCAATCACTGTCCTTTTATAATTCTTCCAACATTTAACAGATTATCATTGTCTAAGAACTTTCCTCATTCTTCTCTTGACTAAACAAAACCAGTTTGTTCAGCCTTTCCTGATGGATCTTATCATTCTTTTCTCCTATGGAATGTGTGCGCTTAATCAAGATCTCTTAAAGTCTGGTGCTCAAAATTGAATTGGTAATACATCTCAGAATTAAGTTCCTTCTTTTGCAACGACATCATACTCTTGACTCTTACTGAGTTTGTGATCTATTATGTTGGCACTGGATTTATGACCCAGATACCTTATTCAAGCAGACCCAAACCCTCAGACTGACCACGACCTCTCTATTCGATAATAGGCATTTTATCTTGATACACAGTAATACCAGATAAGACTAATGCAGGCAAGACAAACAGTTCTGTATCTACCAGTCCTAGTGCTGTCACAGAGGGAAAGCATGTCTGTCCAGTACCTGAGCTTCACCCTGTGGTTCTTTTCTTGAATGGCAGATGGCAGCAGCCTGGAGCTCAAGGGTCAAGGCCTATCGCCCCCTCGCCCCAGTAGGGTGGGTGAGACGGGCTGATAATGTGCCCTCTGTCCATGGTAGCCTTGGTTCCCCCATCAGGGGCCATTTGCTGTTCTGAAATCCCTCCTTTTGTATTCTTTTCCTCCTCTGATGACTCTTCATCTCCTGGCATCATTGATTGGTCTCCCTTTGATCATCATACTGTCCACATTATGTTCTGTCAGCATATTCCTTTGTTCCAGCAAGCCTATCACATGCACACATCTTAATTTGGTTATTTACTGATGTCTTAATTTGGTCTGTCCATGAAAACCAGAAATCCCAAGGGGTCTGCCGCCTTATCTCATGTTATGGAACAGTGTGGTACATGTCTTCAGTTTCACAGCCTGTCTCTCTGTTGGCTTCAGAGACAGTGGGTCTGGAAGGAAACTTTGTCACAAATAGGCTTTTAGAAACCAATTAACCCTTGCCGTTCCCCTGGACCATAGTTCTTATACATACCTATTTTATCTACAGTCTAGTTCCCAAAAGCAAATGTCTAAATACCATTTTCTAGCCATTACATTATAACCTTCAGGTCCTTTCCTGATATACATGTGCCTAGCCAGTTGCTCCCCATTTTGCATTCAATTTCTTCTTCCTACAGGTAGCACTTGACTCCTCTTTTCATATTGTTGATTTTGGACACTATCTCCAGTTTGTCAACTTCATTTTGAAGTATGATCCTGTCCTCCAAAGTGCTTACAACCTCTCTTAAGTTGGTGCCATCTTCAGGTTTTATCAGCATACTTCAGAATACTTTAAAAGCTTACAGCTGGTTTAAATTATCTTCAAAATTATTTTTTTAAAGAGAGTACTTCCAAGCACTTTTGCAATCTTCACATATGGATACACTATGTTAAAAAAACACACACAGTGGTAAATGAGGAACAGGAAATACTTGTAGTATCTCAGATAACAAGGTGTGGTAAATGTGAGTAAATAATGGCTTTTTGGCAGTACTGGTGAGTTTGTGAGCACAGGTCTCCTGCTACTCTATATATACCTCTATCTGAATGGACCTCATATACTAAGATCTAGCATACTACCTAAATGCCAAGTCTACTTGTTGTGGCTCTTTGTTAATTGTAATTAGTGTGGCTATAATGGACTTTATTCTGGTAGTTTAAAACTGCAGTTCCCAAACTAGGAAGTGCAACCTCAGGTGGCATCAGAGCAGTTACAAACAGGGTCAAAAGCCCCCCGAAGCCCATGACTTTTCTAGGTCTACAATTATGTTATTCCCTTAATTAACAGGAGGTAGGAATTTTACAGTATCTCAATTGTTGCACTATAATGTTGAGCATCTCTGCTCCTATTCTGTAGTATGTCAAAGGTAAACTAGAGTTCATTTTTGGGTGAGCTGCCCCCCCATTTAGTTCTCACTGGAGTAAGAACCAATCGCTATAAAGTCACTATTAAAAAGAAACAGGAGTATCATTCCCCTTCTCATTCCCATCACAGCCACTTGCCTTTCCTCTCCCAGGTTTTTTGTTTGTTTGTTTTAAAAAGAAAAACATTAAAAAAACCTGACAAGAAATACACGGATGGTATTTTTAATACAGATAATAACTTCTCATACTGACAGCAACAGAACTCAATTGACTTACCATTAGAAACAACTCCATGGTCTATAGCAGTGGTTTTCAACCCTTTTTTATTTGTGGACCCCTAAAAAAATTTTGAATGGACGTACAGACCCGTTTGAATTGTAAGCATGGGTATTCATATACTTTTGATTGATCATAGTCACCTTTTTGGACCACAGGTTGAAAACTACCGGTATACAGAAACCCCAACCAAAAGCCAGTCCTAGGATGCCAAGTTCAGGCCTCCCTCTCGGCTGGCAAGTCAAAAATGTTAGCTCATACAACCCAAAGTATCATAGTCTCATCTACCAGTCAGTGTGGAATAGGAAAAACAAATATAACTTTCAACATCTAATTTCTTTCAAAGTTAATGAAATTATATAAAAATGAAAACAAGATGTCGCCGCCGAGAGCCGCGGCGCGGGGTTCGGGGCTTTAGGAGCCCTAGTCGGTGGGCGGGTACTTGTGACACTTGGAGTGGAATCAGGTACTCAAGCGTTTTGGTTAAACAAAAGGTTGTTTACTTACACTGCTCGTACAGTGCAGGTCATATGCTTGCTTCGGTTATGGTTACAAAACTTGGGTTGGGCAGAAATTACAAAGATGTTGGTCGGTCTGCAGATGTGTTCGGGGTGTTCGGGCCCGCAGTCGTCTTACGTCTCGGGTGGGGGTGTGCTAGGCCCCCTTGGGTCGGTGACGGGGAGTCCTTAGTGGTTGATCAGGCCGCTAAGTTCGCTTCTGAAACACGCGAGGAGTTTGCTAGGCTCCACAGTGTACTCAGAGTTCTCCACGAGATGTATGTGGAGTCCTCCAACTTGGGCAGAAACTGCTCAAGCCTCTTATACGGCTAGCAAGCCAATCACTAGCCGCCAGGTAGGAATAATTTAGAACAGTCCAATAGTGGGATACAAATTTGCATAAGATTGGCGGGAACTCCTTTGCACCGTGCATTTCTGTGCTGCAAAGAAGAAATGCACACTGCAAAGAAAGCTACAAATTGGTGGTAACTTTTTCTAGGTCATTAACGTATAGTCACTGGGCTCTGGAGTTTTCCCCTCGTGACCTACTTACGTGACCTACTTACAAAATGATTGACAGACTGCCTTCTGTATCAAACTATGGAATCCTCCCACTGTACTATAGGCATATGAACAATGGGTTCTGACACAAGATAGTATTCAAAAAATGTATGGTAGCGGATTATGTTACCTGGGATATTTTCATTCACCAGCATGACCAATTGTAATTTACTTGTGGCTTCTTTCAGCTTGTGACTTGTTAGGTGTGAAAGGCCATCATTAATATATGCCAGGATGTTTAATATCATGTTGTCCATTATCATGTATTCATAATATAGGTAATCTTATGTACTGTTACATTTTAAAAGTTTCTGCTTATTGATTGATGTAGTTATTGTATTTATTCTTTATTTCTATTTCTGCTTTATTTCCTCCTGTCCTCCTATCATTTTTTCCATCTAGGAAAAGGGTTGAGAAAGGAAGTGTCTGTTTTTCCACAGACAGGTTTTTTTTTTCATTTTGATGTTTATCAACTGTTTCTTCCCTTTTATTTTCTTAACCATCTCCTGTTTCCCGTGTCTTTTTTTTCTTCCAAGTTTACTTCAGTCAGATACGACTGCTGTCTGTCTGTCTGCCTCTCTTTTCCCTTCTCCCCCCACCTCCATTTCTTCACCTCTCTATTATTCTCTGTATGTCTATAAGCTTCAGTGTTTCCTTCCTACATTACTCACATTTTCTAAATCTTACTATACTCCAGCAGAGGTAGGAGACTACAAGTATTTTAAGGATATTAGATCTGTGAGAGCTAAGGAAATCTCTTCTCAGTTTTCTCCCTTCTCTGAGAAATATGGTGGGCCCACCAACACTATATTATTTTTCTCAGCTCCAGTGGGACTGCTATAAATTCTTATCATCACATATATGAAGATAACAGAAGCCAAAGATCTCCCCTCTTCATTCCTGGAAACATAGGAATAATGGAGGGTGGCCATGCTGGTTAATCAATTCTCTCCTAATGGGAGGGCAGGAGATAAGAGGTTAGGAGATCAACGTATTAACTCAAAATTGTAGCATTGATCAAATTCATCCCTGATGTATTTCTCATGTAGTTAAATCAGGGATTAATTTAGCTGAGGGAACTTTGTTCTGTATGATCAAAGATTATAACAAGCAGAGTGTGTGAGCAAGATATGCTGCTACTGATTAATCAGCATAAGTAAATGCCTAGTTCTGAAGCCCAAGTGACAACCCATGCTACAATCAGGTCTAAAAATATTCAGATCAAAGCAAATCTTCCCTTGTTCATATGGGTACAGAAAATTTTCATCAACATTGACATGCAAAGTATCAGCAGAAGGAAATGAATGATGCTTTTCTTATAGATGCTGCATCAAACTACAATAAAAATGTCCCTTCCACCTTGGTATACCTTGCAGTTCCTTGTTCCATGTGCCCCACGATTGATCCTGCTTCTCAGATTAGGAGACAGAAAGAAACTGTGAATAATAATAATCTTTAAAATTTAATGCGTTCTAAGCAATACACTCTCACCCGGGCACTGTATTTTCTGATCATCTTATGCAGAGGCACCAGCTTCTCTTATGCCACCAGTAAAAACAGGCTCATGCCTGTCAATGGATGGGCGCCGTCATGAAAATGAGGAGAGCTGGCATGATGGTTGCAGAGAATGTTACTGTCACAATGGACGGGAGATGTGTGCCTTGATAACCTGCCCTGTTCCTAACTGTGGCAACCCCACCATACATCCAGGACAATGTTGTCCATCGTGTCCAGGTAAAATGTTACACTCTATGTTCTATCATAAATCAACCTTTCTTTCACTCGTGTGTACCAGTTTCTCACACGTGAGAAATAGAACTTTAGTTAAGGCACAAGTGCAAGTCAACGGGACACATTTCTGTTACCAGCTATACCACAAATTAGGCTGGGTGACTTAGGACTAAGTTCACTGTGGTTCACTTTCCCCAGATGTAAAGTATCAATACAAATACTTCACTTGTATGTAGTGAGTCTTAATTAATATTTGTACAGATGGTTGAGACCCAGGGAAAGAAGGATGGAGGATTGCCTTGAACTGCCATTTGCTTAGGGGCCAACAAATGCTGAAAACTTAATTTTGTATAACATTAATCATAGAGCCCTGCCATTAGAGTTTTTCTTCTTGTGCAAGATGTATCACCAACTCACCCCACCTGTTAGCAGTGCGGTCCCCACATAAGAGGCGCTTTGTAAGCTGGTTGTCTATAAATTGTGCCCCATCTATACAAAAACTATTTTAAAGATGTTATAGTTCTCAGATATTGTTTCCAGTTTATAAGCTATGAGTTCAAAAAATCTTCTGAGCTGCCATTACAAGGTATTCATAATATTTTGTGTTAAAAGTAAGTCTTCAGTAATGATCATCTACTTATGATCATCTTCACTGCCTTTTATGTAAATATTCATTTTTTTATTAATTGAACCTATTGATTCCACACTGAGCAAACATTTCTGTTCTATCTGCAGTGGAAGATTATTGTGATTCTTTAGATAGGAAGGCTAAGGATAACTACAGTACAATTCCAATATTGTTTTCAGTGACAGCAAAGTTAACACATTAACAACTCATGAAAAAACTGTTGCTATATGTCCTATAAGAATGGTGTTATATTTGTATCATTTACCTCAATGAAACTGCTATAAGGAGGTTATTTAAATATAACAAATGATTATATGTAACTTAAATAGTTATTAAATATCAATGTATTATAAGTCAATGTAGGCATTTACTAATATTTACAGTAAACTGTATGGTAAATGTAGTAGTTCTGATAATGATATTAATTTTTTAAAAAGCTAAAGTAATAGGAAGCAGGAAATCATTGAAAAGTTTCAGATAAAATTTTAATGTGTTGAATGCAAGAGACAAAATAACAATTAGAATGTAATTAAATGATATATATTTAGCAGTATAAAAATAACTAATATTTAACATTTAAAAATTTATTAACCACACAGTAGGGCTGTGCGAAGGTTCGGGTGCTGATTTGATTTGGAGGAGATTCGGCCCGATTCGGTGGCTGAATTTCCAAATTCGAATCAAATCAGGAGACCAATAAAAAGGTCCAAATAAATTTGAAGCTCTCTCAATCAATTCAGAAAAGATTCGGAGAGATTCGGACAGTCCCCCCCACTTGCTGCCATGGCGGGGTCTGGAGGAGGGGGGAAGGGACCATGGGAGGACTTCTGCCAAGCCCCATCCCCTGCATCCCCCACCCCCTGAGCACCCCCGACCCCCATCCGCTCTCCCAGCCCCATCAATGGCTGCTCCACTTGGCCCCAGCATCCCGGCTCTTAAAAAACAAACACACACACAAACAAAAAAGCCCCACACTCACCAGCTCCTGCCAGGTGGGGGGAAGATCCCTGCTGCCCTGCGCTGCATGGGGAGATATGCCACAAGCAATTCATCTCCCGTCCTCTCTCCCAGACCTGTTAATGGCTGCCCCACCTGGCCCTAGCATCCTGGCTCTTTTAAAAAAAAAAAAAAAAAAAAAAAAAAATCCCCCCCCCCCCCTGG